AGAGCTGGGAGGGGCCTCAGAACAGGGAAGGTCAGAGCTGGGAGGGGCCTCAGAACATGGGAGATCAGAGTTGGAAAGGTCTGAGGGGGCCATGTTCTAGATGGGGAACCTAAGGGCCAAGGAGGGCTCTTGCACTCTCTCCCTCGTCCCTCCAGGGACTGGGTGAAATTGTCCCTGGTTCTCTGGAGAAGAACCAGGAGGCGACTTGAGTCTAGCCTTCTCATCTGACAGATGGGGAAGTCCAGGGCCAGTGAGGGCAAGGACTTGCTCAGGCCGCCTGGCATCAGGGACAGAGCTGGGGCTCAGGCCCAGGGCTCTCTGGACTCCACCCCCAGGTGTCTGGACTGATGGCCTCTGTTCTTCTGTAACTCCCTTCCCTAGCACCCAGAGGAGCGGAGCAGCGAGTTCCAGAGCCTGGAGCAGGTGAAGCGCCGCCCCGCCCATGTCATGGCCCTCCTGCACCACGTGGCTCTGCAGTTTGATTCGGGACCCCTGGTGAGGCCTGGGCTTGGGGCGCAGCAGTTTGGGAAAGCCCAAGTGGCCTCAGAACCAGAGTACGGAGCCTGGAGGGTAGGGTATAGAGTAGGGCGCATGGCCTGGGATGGGATCTAAAAGGCAGAGACCTCATAGGCCAGGAGGAATCTAGAATCAGAGAATGCCTTGCTGGAGAGATCCAGAACCAGGCCTGGAGCAGCCGGGTATGTGTGGGTGTGTGTCTGTGTCTAGAACCAGACTGCATGAACTGTGGTCATCTATCACCTCGATGGTGACCTGTGACATCCAGAACCTGTGTTTCTATCTGGAGTCTAGAACGTGGCTTTGGCCTGGAATAGGGAGTCTTAACTAGGAGCCTATGAAATTTTTTTAAGAATCTCCCTCTCCCCTCCCCATATTTCCATAGAACTTTTTTTGTGATCCTTTGTAATCGGCTGCCCAAGGGTCCAGGACAGGGCTTAGACTCTGATGATCTAGAATGTGTTAGCACAGCCTGTGGGAGGGTCACCTAGGCCAAGGGCACCTAGAACCTGAGGATCCAGCCGCAGACAGTTGTGGAATCGGGAGAGCCCGGTGGTGTGGAGAGGGGTCCTCTTAGGGTTTAGCAAACGACCTCAGGCGCCTTGGGGAACCCGGGGCAGAGCTAGCGGCTCCATGGGACGAAGTCTTGGGGGGCTCGGGTGCTGGGGGCAGGAGACGATGATGACCTCTGCTCTCCCCCACTTCCCGCCCCCAAGCTGTGCTGTCTCCATGCTGACATGCTGGCCTCCCTGGGCCCCAAGGAGGCCAAGAAAGGCTTTCTGGACTTCTACCACAACTTCCTAGAGAAGACGGCGGTGAGGACGGACCCCTTCCCCTCCCTGCCCCCAGACTCCCCTCCCCACCCGGGTATGAGGAAGCCCCTTCCTGCCCGCTCCCACCCCTCATGAGGCTTCTCCTCCGGGCAGGTCCTGCGCGTGCCCGTGCCCCCGTCAGTGTCCTTTGAGCTTGGTAAGTCGTAGCAGGGGGCCTTGGGAGGGGGAGTCCAGCCCAGGCTCTGTGGCCGCCATGCCCACCGTGCCCATCCCATAGACCGCACGCGCCCAGAGCTGCTCCCCGAGGAGACCCAGCGGCGATTCCTCCAGGAGGTGGTTCGTGCCCAGCAGAACACCATCTCCCGTCAGCTCGAGGACTTCCGGTCTAAGCGGCTCATGGGGATGACCCCTGGGGAACCAGACTTGTCCCAGCTGGAAGCCTGGGCAGCCCGGGACCGGGTCAGCTTTGAGGGCCGGGAGCGCCTCGTGGCAGAGAGGCTCCTGAACCGGCTGGAAGACATGCAGTGAGTGACCCTGAGCCCCTGCTGACCAGGACCTTCTCCTTCCTGGGGGTGAGGGTGGGCTGTCCCCTCAGCCTCCCCCGGCTCTCCAGTGGGGTGGGGGGATCCCCAAGTGGAAGGGCTAGCCAGGAAGCAGCTGACCAGCCTTTCCCTGACCCTCTCCCCACAGCCCGACCAGCTCCACGGATGAGGAAAAGAGGTGATTCCTGGGGTCTGCCTCTGGGGCGGGGACTGGGGGCCAGGGTGGGGGGAGGTGGGGATCAGAATCTCTGGGGCCCCCTGCCACCCCAGCTGGTGGGGAGGGGGCTGGGGGGTGGCCGGTGGGCAGGGGCCCGGCTCACTGCTTCCTTGCCCCCAGCGTGGCCATAGTGAATGCAATCAGCGCTTACATGCGCTACCTTGGCGTTCGGACCAAGAGCGGTGACAAGAAGGCGCGAGGGAACTTCTTCCGGAAAAAGGTGCCTCCTTCCTCTGTGTCCCCCAGGCCAGCCCAGTGTGGGGAGGGAGGAGGCTGCTGACCGCTCTGACCACCATTCCCCCACAGATGAACCGCCGCACGGACGATCCCCCCAAGCCCAAGAAGGGCCTCAGCATCATCCTGGACGCAGCCCGATGGAACCGCGGAGAGGCTCCGGGTGAGCACCGCCCCCCGGGGGCCGCCCCCGGGCCGCCCCCAGGCCCCGCTCCCTGGTTGTGTTGGGGCTGGGACTGGCCTCTGCCCCCACGGCCCCTCACGGCCCCTCTTGTTTATTTCAGCTCCTGACTTCCGACACCCTAAAGCTGAGAGTGACGGTAACCACCCTAACCTTGGGGTCCCCTGCCCTTGGGGTCTGAGGGAGGCAGGGCCTGGGTTCCCAAGGACAAGGGGTCAGGGGGGCCTGATGCCTGCCCCTCCCCACCCCCAGGTGAGAAACCAGGGCTTCCTGAGCGGAAGATCAGCCAGGTGACTCCCCCAAGGGGGATCGTTGGGCCCCCCGGGCCGGATGCCCCTGGTGTCGCTGTGCATCCCCCTCCAGGTGAAAGCCCGGACAAGGAGCCAGGTGAGAAGGGGTTCCTTCCCCCAGAGAGCTGCTCCTGGGCCCAGGGAGAGGGATGCAGAGGTGACGTCCTGCCATGTGGGAGTGCCCCGTGATTCTCACCAGCTCGTGATTCAGAGATCTCCAGGCTCTGACTACGAGATTCCGCAGTCTGCTCTGGGAAACCCCTCTCATCGTCCAGCTCATGGGAGTCCCCAGTTCTGGAACTCTTGGGCTCTGGCTGTCATTCGTTGTAAATCTTGGGTTCCAAGCCCCAAAGATCCCCAGGGGGCCTCCCATCAAGCGGGGCCACGCCCTCAGATCAGGAGCGAGGTGACTTCTCCACACGGGGATTTCTGACCACAGACTCACTCTAGATTGGGCCGTGTCTGTGGACGTTGTGTCTATGTATCTGTGTATGTGTGGTGTGTGCACGTGTGCTGTGTGTGCGTGTGTGTAACGTGTGTGCACGTGTGCTGTGTGTGTTGGGGTCTGAGAGGCAGAGCTCTCCATGGGGTTCAGGCTCGCCCTTTGCCCCCGGGCAGGGTCCTTTCTGTCTGGCCCCCTGGCTGTCCTCGCACCCCCCCCCCCGCCCCGGATCTCAGAGTCCCAGCTGCTCTGGGCCAGGGGTCTCTTCTCCACCTCACAACAGCATCGTTAACTGGACTTGGGGAGGGGGTGCCCCATTTGTGAGGGGGGCTCTGAGTGCTGAGGTCTTGGCCATGAGCTGGCCAGATCTGGGACCCGAGGCGGGCTGGAAGGCCCGCTCCCTTTATTCCCAAAGGAAGCAAATGTCTTCTCTCTCCCCAGGTATTGATCCACCCTCAGAAGTGGGGGATCCACCCCCCCCAAGGCCCATCAAGCTCAGAGTCCCCCGTCCTCCCAGAGAGCAGCACGGAGGATGGGGCCGACACGGAGAGGTAGGAAGGGGGCCGGGGCTGAGTGGGAGCTTCAGGTGGGGATGGGAAGAGAGGAAATGGGAATGGGGAGGGAGGGAGAGAGCTGTCCTGCCTGCCTGCCCGCCCATCTGCCCGCCTGCCTGCCTGCCAGCCCGCCAGCCCGCCAGCCCATCCTCCTGCCACTTCCCCTCTCCGCTTCCCCCTCCACCCCTAGCCCACCCCTGCCTCCCACTTGAATTTGTTCCATTCTGTCGTGGACAGAGTCGTGGCCTTGACGGAGAAGGCCAGGGCCACCTCCCAGCTCACCCACCCACCAGCTCTACGACCTTAGGCAGGTCACGGCCCCTCACGCCTTCAGCATCTGCTGCTTTAAGATGAGGGGTCTGAGGACCCTCCCAGCTCTGGCTCACTGCATCCGTCAGCTCTGAGCCCTCCGGTGCGCCTAGACCAGAGGCCAGAGAGATCAGGGGCCTCAGAGAGCCAGGATGGTGGGGGACAGGATGAGAGCCAGAGCATGGGGCTGGGGGACAACGGGCCAGGATGGAATCCCCCCCCGGGCCGAGCGGCTCTGGGAAGGTGCCACCGGGAGGCAGCCGTGTGCGGACCTCAAGGGCCTGGGTGATTTCAGCTGGGCTTGGGCTAGGCCCGGCCTGACACTGGGGGGCCAACTTCTCTCATGGGCTGTGTGACCTTGGGCCACTCCCTTCCCCTCTCTGGGTCTCAGCAGTCCCCGTATGTCAGAAGAGGAGGTTGGACCAGATGACCTCTAAGCACACCCCCTTTTTTCTTTCTTCCTTTTTCTTTTCCTCTCTCTTCTCCCTCTTTCCCTTCTCTTCTTCCTCCCTTTCTCCTCTCTCCTTTTCTTCTCCTTCCTCCTTTTCATTTCTCTCTCCTCCCTTCTCTCTCCTCTCTTACTCTTCTTCTCGCTCCCCTCCTTGTTTCCCTCCTCCCCTTCTCTCCCTCGCTTTCTCATTTCCCTTTCTCTTCTCCCTCCTCCCTTACTCTTTTCCCTTCTCTCCTTTTTATTCCTCCCTGTTTCTCCTTCTTCTCTTCTCCCTCCTCCGTTTCTCTTCTCCCTCCCCTTCTTTTTCTCCCTCCCCCCTTCCCCTTCTCCTCTTCCCTTCTCTCTCTCCCTTTCACCACACTCAGCTCCTGCCTCCCTACAGTGTTCCCCCCCACCTTGCTACATGCTGCCCCGGGGGCCTCGCCCCCCTCATGGTTGGGGGGGGACGGGCACAGCCCCCAGCCCGTCCTTGTGCTGCTGCTTTGGGAGACTTGGGGGGTGGGGCCCCTCTGGGGCACCTCTGACCCTGAACCTGCTCTTTCCCCAGAAAGTGGAAGAGGTGGGTGCCTGGGCCCTGGGGTGGGGGAAGGGGTCTATCCCTCTCCCCCATGTCTTCCCGGCCTCCTTCCCCCTCCCCATGCACCACCCCACCTACCCCGGGAACAGCTAAGTATCCAGTGCCCCCTCTCAGGCTCTCCGAAGCCTGCCCCTGCCCCGCCGCCCCTGCCCCTCAGAAACGCGGGGTGGGATGCCTTCTGGAATCCGTTGCAGCCCAGGGTGGGACTCGGGTTCCTGCTTCCTCTCTTCCCCTCGGGTCCCTCTCCCTGCCTCCGTCCCGGGCTCCCAGAGTCCCTCATGGCCCAGCCCCCTTCCCCAGCCTCCCCCACCTCAGGAGCATGGCCTGTAGTGCTGACTCTGTCTTCTCCCTGTTGCATGTTCTCTCCCCCCACCCCCGATCCCTGTCCTGTCTCCCCCCTCGCCTCTGTCCCCCTGCCTTGATTTCTCTTCTTGTGTCTTCCCCTTGCCTGATGTCCATTCCCGTTCTTTGGTCTCTGACATCGTCTCTACCTCCCCTTGGTCTCTGCCTCCCCTCGGTCTCTGTCCTGGTCTCTGTCCTCGGTGTCTGTCTCCCCTTTGTCTCTGTCCTTGGTCTCTGTCTTCGGTCTCTGTCGTTGGTCTCTGTCTCCCCCTGGTCTCTGTCTTCGGTCTCTGTCTCTCCTTGGTCTCTGTCATTGGTCTCTGTCTCCCCTCGGTCTCTGTCCTCGGTCTCTGTCTCTCCTTGGTCTCTGTCATTGGTCTCTGTCTCCCCTTGGTCTCTGTCTCCCCTCGGTCTCTGTCTTCCCTCGGTCTCTGTCCTGGTCTCTGTCCTGGTCTCTGTCTTCCCTTGGTCTCTGTCCTTGGTCTCTGTCCTTGGTGTCTGCTTCCCCTCGGTCTCTGTCCTGGTCTCTGTCTCCCCTCGGTCTCTGTCCTGGTCTCTGTCTTCCCTCGGTCTCTGTCCTGGTCTCTGTCCTGGTCTCTGTCTTCCCTTGGTCTCTGTCCTTGGTCTCTGTCCTTGGTGTCTGCCTCCCCTCGGTCTCTGTCCTGGTCTCTGTCTCCCCTCGGTCTCTGTCCTCGGTCTCTGTCTTCGGTCTCTGTCTCTCCTTGGTCTCTGTCATTGGTCTCTGTCTCCCCTCGGTCTCTGTCCTGGTCTCTGTCTCTCCTTGGGTCTTTGTCCTGGTCTCTATCTCCCTTGGGTCTTTGTCCTGGTCTCTGTCTCCCCTTGGTCTCTGTCCTGGTCTCTGTCTCCCCTCGGTCTCCGTCCTCGGTCTCTGCCACCCCTCGGCCACCCTGGCTGTCTTGGTCTCCCCACCCCCACTTTGGTATGTCTCACTCACCTGGGGCCCAGACTGTCTGGCAGACTGGGGCGCTCCGAGAGCCTTCGGGTGACCGACCGGCGCCGGCCATCCCGGGGCAGCCTGGGGGCCAAGGGCCGAGCAGGGGGCCGCTCCCGAAGCGATGTGGACACAGACCCTGGCTCTGCCACGGCGGCCCTTGGCTCCGCCCGACGTGCCACGTATGTCACCCTTCCCTTGACCCCCCTCCCCCTCAGGATGAGCAGGAGAACGGAGGGTGCCCTGGTCACAGAGCAGGGGGCGGCCGAGGTACTGCTCTGGCAGGGTGGCGGGTGGGGGCAGGGATTGGAGTGGGGGGCTAGATGCCCAGGGTGCCAAGCTAATGGGTTTGGAGGGGGCTGAACACCAGGGGCCCTCACAGCCGTCCATCCCACAGCCCCGAGCCAGGTGAGGAGGGGGAGCCGGGCCGCTCGGGGCTGGAGCTGGAGCCTGAGGAGCCGCCCGGCTGGCGGGAGCTGGTCCCCCCTGACACCTTGAGCGGGATGCACAAGAACCAGGTGAAGCGACAAGAGGTGATCAGCGGTGAGTCCCAGCTCCTCCCCTCGCTGCCCTCAGCCGGACCCTCCCAACCCACCCGGTCCCTGCGGGTCTTCTCTCTGCGGAGCCTCTGCACCCAGGCCCTGGTGTCTGTGGTGACCTCTGGCGGCCCCTTGGTGAGAGCCACCTCCCTTGGGGACGCCCGGCCTTTACTCCAGCTCTTGGGGTTCCCTGCCTCCCACCCCTGGCCTTTCTTGTGTGAGGCCCCTGATCCCGGGGACGGATGGTCTCTCTTCTCCACCTTTAGCCTCTTGCTGGCTCCTTCCCTGCAGCCCACAGACCTGCCTGCATTTCTCCCCTGTTTAAAAAACCTCCAGTGCCCTCAGGCTCTCCGCCTGTAGCTCTCCTCCCTGTCTTCTCACTCTGCCCCGGTCAGTCTGGCCTCTCGCGTCATCCTCCAGAGCTGGTCTCCCTGCCGTCTCTGCTTTGCCAAACACAAGGATGTTTCTCGGCCTTCATCCTGCACTCTTTGACCTGTTGACCACTTTCTCCTTTCTTGGGCTTCCCCTCCTGCCTGTCTGCCCACTCCTTGGTTCTCCCTGGGGCTAGCCCCCACAGCTCTGGCCTGGACCCTCCCATCTTCCCTCTTCCACTTGGGGATCTCATCGGCTGCTGGGGTTCGGCGATCATCTCTATGTGTGATTCGCAGAGCTCTGGCGGCTCTCCTGAGCCCCAGCCCCATAACACCCAGCTGCCTCCTGGATGCAGATGTTTGCCAGGTGGACATCCCATCAGCAGCTCACATTCAGCGTGTCTAAATAGGACTTCTCTTCCCTGCCCCCGCCCCACCTGCCTGTCTTCCAAGCATCCCTGTGCCTCCCCAGAGCTCCAGGCTCTCAGCCTCACGCCAGAGAGCTCGGCAGTCACTCTTGATTCCCAACGTTTCTTCAATCCATCCGTGGTGTAGACTCTCATCACCTTCCCCCTAGACTGGCGCAGTAGTCTTCCTCCTGGCCTCCCTACCTCGTGAACATCTTCCATCCTCCCTCACAGCTGGCCCAGTGATTTTCCCCAAACATGGGCCTAACGGTGTCACTCCTCTACAGCTAGGCAGCACAGTGGACTGGAATCAGGAAGACCCGAGTTCAAATTTGATCTCAGATACTTAGACCTCAGAACCTGTGCCCCTGGGCATATCGTTTACTGGAGAGGGAAACCTTCAGCCTCGAGGCCATGTGGGGCCCTCTAGGTCCTCAGGAAAGGCCTTTTGACTGAGTCCAAGGTTTACAGAACAAATCCTGTTATTTAAGGGTATTTGTTCTGTGAAGTTTGGATTCAGTCAAAGGGCCGCACTTGAGGACCTAGAGGGCCACAGTGGCCTCAAGGCTGCAGGTTCCCCATCCCTGACTTAGCCCATCTGTGCCTCAGTTTCCTCATCTGTAAAATGGAAGTAATAATATCACCTGCCTTCCAGGGTTGTTGTGAGATAAATAATATTTATAAAGCACTTTGCTATAAAAGTTCTGACTGTTTTTAAGATATCACATGTAAGGTCAGATACAAACTCTTCAGGCATTTAAAGCCCTTTACAGTCTGGCGCCAGCCTCATTTTTATATTTATTGCACGTTTTTATTCTACCTTCCCACCTCCCATGGGTGTATGTGTGTGTGTGTGTGTGTGTGTGTGTGTGTGTGTGTGTATAAAATATATACACAACACAATACATGTGTATACATGTGTGTGTTTATAATTCCTGGAGGGCAGGAACTGTTTTGTTTTTATCTTCTTCTGCTCAGCATCTAGCCCAGGGCCTAGCACATTGCTTGATTGCTTGATTGACCACTGGTGAATTTATCATCTAAGACAGCTAGGTGGCGCAGTAGATATAGTGCTGGGCCTGGAGTCTGGAAGACTCGTCTTCTGAATTAACAGTAACTTACTAGCTGTGTGGCCCTGGGCAAGTCACTTAACCCTGTTTGCCTCAGTTTCCTCTTCTATAAAAGGAACTGGAGAAAGAAATGGCAAACCACTCCCATATTTTTTGCCAAGAAAACCCAAAAGGTATCGTAGAGAATGGGATACAGTTGAACAACTAAACTACAATATAGTGCCTGCTATGTGCCAGGCATTGTGCTAAGCACTTTATCTTATTTGATTATTATCATTATTATTAATAATTATTATTACAATAAATGCAAGGTCCAGAGAACCCCGAAAGGGGTTACACAGAGTCAGACGTGACTGAAAAACAACTGAACTGAACTTTTCACCCCTGGTGACTGATGGCCTCCCCCTTTCTCCAGTGACCCCTGGTGGCACCCTGCCCCTGCTTGACCCCTATCAGTTGTAGTGATTGCCCTTCCCGGGGAGCTCTCCTATGCTTTGCATCCCCTGGTAGGCCAGGTGCCTGGATCAGCGACCTCTTCCTCTCCCCTCCAGAGTTGCTGGTGACCGAGGCGGCCCACGTGCGCATGCTTCGGGTTCTCCATGACCTCTTCTACCAGCCCATGGCTGATGGGGGCTTCTTCACGATGGACGAGCTACAGAACATCTTTCCCAGCCTGGATGAGCTGATCGACGTGCACTGTGAGTAGGGTTACCAGGCAAGGCCTTCTCCCACTCCCTCCTCTCTCCAGTCAGGGCCCCACTGCCTCCTGCTAATTTTCTTTCCTTTCCGCTCAGAGTAACCCAGTAGCCCCAGTGCCCAGCATCCCTGCTCTCCCTCAGTGTCTCTAACCTGGGGCCTGCTCCATCCCTTGGAGGGTTCCCCCCACACACACACACTCACCTTCCCAGCCCCTGGGTATTTATGGCCTTTGTGACACAACCTCCCTGTGCTGCCCCAGCTCTGTTCCTGGAGAGCCTGATGAAGCTGCGGCAGGAGAGCGGCTACATTATCGAGGAGATTGGGGATGTGCTGCTAGCCAGGGTGAGTTGTGTGCCCAGCTCCCACCAACTCAGCTGCCAGGGGGTCCCGATCTCTCCCTCACCCCAGGGGCCCAGGTGTCCTCATTGCTCCATGTACTGCCAGCCCCCCGAGGGACCCAAGCATCTGGATTCCTCCAGTCCCTTTGCCCCAACCTCCCCGGGACCCAGGCGTCCCGGGTCACCCGGCTTCCTTCTGGGACTGAGGTGTCCCGGGTCACCCGGCTTCCTCCCTTCCGGGACCCAGGCGTC